CAAAGACGAACTTTTGATTTATTTAGAGAGTAGTATTGATAGCTTTGGACAAACTCAGCAGTTTAGATTATCTCTGCCAGCCTGGGCAACATAGGACTCTACAAAAAAATTTCAAAAATTAGTTGTGTGTGGTGACATATGCCTGTAGTCCCACCTACTCAGGAGGCTGAGGTGGGAGGATCGCTTGAGCCTGGGACGTCAAGACTGCAGTGAGCTAATATGGCACCACTGCACTCCAGCCTAGGCAACAGAGTAAGGTCATACAGAACAGTTTCACTGCCCCCCAAAATTCCTTTGTGCTTCACCTATTCATCCCCTCCCTCATCTCCACCCCATGGCAACCACTGATCTTTTTCCTGCCAATATAGTTTCGCCTTTTTCAGAATGTCACATGAGAATCACACAGCATGCAGCCTTTTCAGGTGGTCTTTTTGTACTTAGCAATATGCATTTAGGGTTCCTCCAGGTCTTCTACCAGTTTTGATAGCCCATTTCTTTTTTTTTTTTTTCTTTGAGATGGAGTTTCACTCTTGTTGCCCAGGCTAGAGTGCAGTAGCGTGATCTCAGCTCACCGCAACCTCCGCCTCCCGGGTTCAAGCGATTCTCCTGCCTCAGCCTCCCGGGTAGCTGGGATTACAGGCCTGCACCACCACGCCTGGCTAATTTTGTACTGATAGTAGAGACAGTGTTTCTCCATGTTGGTCAGGCTGGTCTCAAACTCCTGACCTCAGGTGATCCGCCCGCCTCGGCTTCCCAAAGTGCTGGGATTATAGGAATGAGCCACTGCGCCTGGCCAGCTCATTTCTTTTTACTGTTGGGTGATATTCCATTGCATGGATGAGCCACAGCATGTTTATCCTTCTCCTGTTGTGTGTTGGTTTCTGGTTTGGAGCGTTTCATGAACTACAGCTTGTTTATCATTCACCTGCCGAAGGGCATCTAGTTTGTTAGTGGTTTGAGGCATTTATGAATAGAGTTTCTATAAACATCTTGTGCAGGGTTTTGTGTGGATGTAAGTTTTTTAATCAATTGACTAAACGGCTAGGAGCACAGCTGCTCCATGGCATGGTAAAGCTGTATCTAGCTTTCTAAGGAACTGCCACACTGTCTTCCACAGTACCATTTTGCATTCCCACCAGCAATGAATGAGAGTTCCTGTCGCTCTACTTCCTCACCAGAAGCTGGTTTTCAGATTGTAGATTTTTGGGTGTTAGCCATTCTAATGGGTGTGTAGCGGTATCTCCTGTTTTCATTGCAATTCCCTGATGACGAATGAGACTGAGAATCTTGGCCTTTGCTTATTTCCCATCGGTATATCTTCTCTTGTGAGATTCTATTCAGTTCTTTTGCTCATTTTTAAATGTTTTAAAAGCCAATATTTAATTTTTAAATTCAGGTGTTTGTTTCCTTGTTGTCAAATTTTAAGAGCTCTTTGCATATTTTGGATACAAGTCCCTTACCAGATATGTGTTGTGCAAAGCCTTCATTTTCAAAAACCATTATCTCTCATGATACTACTGCTGTTCAGCCTCTGGAAACACCGCATTGCTTATGAGGAAGACCACGAGGAGTGGTACAGAGAAAGCAAGAATTTGAGTTTTTCTAGATGAGAGAATATTAGCAGATGTGTGAGTCTGTTTTCCTGCTGCTGATAAAGACATACCCAAGACTGGGAAGAAAAAGAGGTTTAATGGGACTTACAGTTCCACATGGCTGAGGAGGCCCAGAATCATAGTGGGAGGCAAAAGGTACATCTTCCATGGCGGCAGGCAAGAGAAAATGAGAAAGAAGCAAAAGCGGAAACCCCTGATAAACCCATCAGATCTCATGAGACTTATTCATTATTACTAGAGTAGCACAGGAAAGACTGGCCCCCATGATTCATTACCTCCCCTCGGTCCCTACCACAACATGTGGGAATTCTGGGAGATGCAATTCAAGTTGAGATTTGGGTGGGGAAAACAGCTAAACCATATCAGCAGGTTTACAGATGTGTCCTCTAGTACACATTTCTATATGCATAGACACAGGTTGACTTTAGTCTTTTTTACATTAAACACAAAGATGGAAACTTGAGACAGTTTATAATTCCTCTAAAATGGCATGCTCACCTTTATTTTTTATTATGCTTGTTTTATAAAATATATCCCTGGCATTGTCTTTCATGTGTGTTTACTGTCTACCTTCTCTAAATAGAACGAAAGCTCCCTGATGACAGGCACTTTAGTTATCACTGCATCCCCAGCACCTAGAATAGAGCCTGGCACCTAGAAGGCACTCAATAAATAATTGTTGAATGTTTAACGATGAAATAATTACAATATGTGTATTTTCCTTTGTCCCACAAAGACGAACTTTTGATTTATTTAGAGAGTAGTATTGATAGCTTTGGACAAACTCAGCAGTTTAGATTATCTCTGCCAGCCTGGGCAACATAGGTCTCTACAAAAAAATTTCAAAAATTAGTTGTGTGTGGTGACATGTGCCTGTAGTCCCACCTACTCAGGAGGCTGAGGTGGGAGGATCGCTTGAGCCTGGGACGTCAAGACTGCAGTGAGCTAATATGGCACCACTGCACTCCAGCCTAGGCAACAGAGTAAGCCCCTGTCTCAAAAATTAAATTAAATTAAATTAAATTAAATTAAATTAAATTAAATCCACCTCTGCCAATCACTAAAGATCATGATTCATCTATATTTTATATTTACCTGAAATAACGCTCAACCAACATTAGTGAAAAAGCAAATAAAACCAATAACAGCATTCTTTTAGAATTCATTCTCTCCTAGGGAAAAAGGGAGAAAAAATTAGATTTTAATCAATAAAAAATGACATATTTGTCATCTTCTAACAATGAGTTAATGTATGGGCCTTGGACACCAACCTTAGAGGTTGCTTCTAGAATGTTCAGCTATCAGGAGACAGCGACTTGAGTAGGGAAGCCTCTCTTCTCCTTCAAGTGCCCGGGACCGACTGTTCCTTGTGGGCCAGCTTCACGTGCACTCTGTCTCTCCCCGCGTTCGTATCAAAGTCTGCCTTGATTGCATAAAAGAAACGCAGTAAATCTCTCCACTGCAGGGCTGTGAAAACAGAATGAGGTCTTGAGGAGGAAGTCATCTTGACCTAGGATAATGTATTCTGCCCCCAAAGTCGACTTTTTATTCTTTCTTCCTCACTGAGATAATAAGATGAGTAATCTGTTCCCAGACTATGCCAGTCGAAAAATTTACAAGTGCTCTCAACGGTAGATCTTGTAAACAGGGAATGAAGTCTAAGTTAAAAGCATTAGACTTTAAGATGGAAATCTGGACTCTCACCAGTGCCTGAGTTTGTGATGGAGGCTTCACATGGGATTTGGTTTACAAGCCCAGAGGGATCTGGAGAGTTTGGATTGTGTTAAATCAGGTTAGGTCATCCCCTAACCTTGACCTCGAACGATATTGAACAGACAGGCAGCCTATCAACACTGCTAGGAGGCTGCCTCGGGATGATGTTATGGAGAGGGAACGCTGCTGCAGAGAATCTGGCTAAGATGGGCAACTGGTCTTACCCCATCCACATGGATTTCTAGTGGATCTTGAATTTAAAAGGTGGTCAGTTTCAAATTGCAGAGGCGCAAGAACTGGCCAACTAGCCTGCCAGGATCGGGATTATACGAAAGAACTGCCCCCATAGAAAATCAATGTGATCTCATTTTCTCTCTTTCTTTTTTTTTTTTTTTGAGATGGAGTCTCGCTCGATCACCTAGGTGGAGTGCAGTGCACATCTCAGCCTACTGCAACCTCCCCACCTGCTGGATCAAGCCGATTCTCCTGCCTCAGCCTCCTGAGTAGCTGGGATACAGGTGTCGCACACCACCACCCAGCTAATTTTTGTATTTTAGTAGAGACAGGGTCCTCACCATGTTGTCCGGCTGTCTTAAACTCCTGAACTCATGATCCACCCACCTCAGCCTCCCACAGTGCTGGGATTACAGGTGTGAGCCACTGCGCCTGGCCGGTGACACATTTTCAATGTCCAGTTTCCTAGTTGCCACGTTACAACAGTAAAAAGAAACAAGTGAATTAATTTTCATAATTTATTTTCATTTAACTCACTATTTCAGACTACAACACCCAGACTGTTACCGTTTCAGTGTGTAATCAATATGAAGTTATGAACTGAGATGGTAAATTCTTTTCTTTCGCACTGTGTTTGACTTTGAGACGCACGTGTTTTATACACTTGCAGCTTACCTCATTTCACAGCAGCCGCACTTCACACACTCAGGACCACACGTGGCAAGCTGGCTACTTTATGGCTATCAGTGCAGAACTAAAGCGTCATGTTTTTAAATGAGTGTTCAAAAATGAAAATACTGGAGGTGAGGTGGGTGGATCACCTGAGGTCAGCAGTTCAAGACCAGCCTGGCCAACATGGTGAAATCCTGTCTTCACTAAAAATATCAAAATTAGCTGGGTATGGTGGCTGAGGCAGGAGAATCGCTTGAACCCAGGAGGCAGAAGTTGCAGTGAGCCAAGATCCTGCCACTGCATCCAGCCTGGGAGACAGAGTAATACTCCATCTCAAAAAAAAAAAAAAAAAAAAAAAGGAAATCAGAGAATCAGAGACCTGCATTTTGTGTGGATGCACAGCCCAGTGGCATGTTCACCAG